GATTTAGCAGTTCCCAGATACTTGATATCTCACCAAGGCTCAGGCACCAATTGTCTGCATTAATCCCCAGGGCAAACCCATAAGGAAGGTGGGTGGGTTGAGCTCTTTTGTCTTAGAAGAGGGAACACTGAGCTTCTTTAAACATCATATCCTGAAGGGCAAGATGACTTTCTCAGTGCAAGATCCACTTCACGCTCAGCTTGGTCACTCATCGGTCTCCTGACATCAAGAGAGGACTGGTGAATCTTATAACCAACCTGGAAAGCGATGTTGGTACTGGCAGGGAGGCCAGGCCATACAGACCTGGCCCTGTGTAAAGGTGCTGGGACAGCTCGCAGGGCAGATCTTGTTAGGACAGAAACAAAGTGTTGTTCTGTCGGTGGGGCCGAAAAGGAGCTCATGATGAGAATCATAGCTGGAAAGGCCAAGGGACCACCTGCAACCACCAGCAAGCTAAAAGGGAGGAGAAGCAGCCAGGCAATGAGAGTCCATTTCTCCTTCTTTCTTTACTTATCTCTTCCTAACATATAATTACAGTCATGTGTCACCTAACCATGGAGACATACTCTGAGAAATGTACCATTATGTGACTTTGACATCACAACTGTCACAGTGCTCTCACACAGAGTAAGAAGGCCATGGCATCATAAGGAGATGTGGTTTTAGGGAACCACTGTTGTATCTGAGGTCCGTTGTTGGTTGAAAGTCATTAAGGGGCACATGACCTTGTCCTTTACATTTGTGTGGGCCTTTTCCATTCTCCAGCACATTTATGTGTATAGAATGGAGTATAGATGTGGAAGAGAACTTGGTGCTCTACTGCACCAGAGCCAATGAGAGTTGCGGAGCCATAAGGAAAATAGTCTGTCTGGGTGAGCCCTCCTGCAATGCTGCCCCCAGGATACAGATGAGGAGATGGGGAGTCAGAGGGTCAGGGGCCATAATTCCAGGGCCACTCAGGTAGGAAGCGGCTGAGACAGGACTCATGGTCAGGGGTGTGGATCCTTAGTGCTGTGCTTTCTCTACCTTCCCACTGTCCACGGAGACCAGAACATGAAAATATCGGCGGGGACACAAGTGCTCTGTAGTTCCTTAGATGCAAGTTGGGAATAGTGGGTCAGAGAGGTCAGAGTGCATCCCAGGAGCCTACCTAAGCCTGTGCTTCATCTCCCCTTTGGCTTCAGGCTCCTGCCTCAGATCGCCTCCATTGCTTCATTGTTTCGGCAACACTCTCTCTTTGGTTGTGGGAGGCGAACGACACTGTTATCCTGCTTTTGCTTGCTTGCAACAGCTCCAGGTGGGGGAAACATATCCTCACACTGGGACCGGGTGTCAGGGCACCTTCTCCTTCCTGTCACAGGGTGCAGGCACTTTCTTTCATACACCATCTCAGCCCTTTCCCTGCAGCAGAAAAACCTCTTAACAAGTGTTTGCCTGACAATTTAATCTCAGGAGGAAAAGTGGAGGCAGGCAGAGAAGAAAAGGAGTAAGAGGAAAAAGACCCAGGAAAGCAGAGGGGTGGGCAAGGCTAATCTTGGGAGAACAAAGTCCTACCCATGTTTGCTACTTCCTTGTAAGGTGACCTTAGCTGAGTCATTGAACATTTGTGAACTTCATTTATTAAGTGGGAATTTAAAATCTCTGCACACCTCACCGGATTCTTATTGAAAAGAAAAAATATATAGGAAAGAGGTTCGAAAATTATAAAGTGGTACCCAAATGAAAGGTTTTTTTTTTTTATTATGTAGAAGGAAGAAGATCAAGAATGACAGAGAAAGAGGAGGGAGAAGCCAGAGGGCTAGGAGTAAGTGCCAACAGAAATGAATGCTTTCCCACCGAGAAATGCATTAGGCACTTCCAAATGTTCATTCTTCCTACAAGACCATAAAGAAAAAGCTATTCCTAATGGGCATCAATTATAAGACTTAAGAGTTAGCTTGTGGCATCTTTGATTGGGAGATATCATAGCAACCCTTTCAATTATTTCCAACTCCAATCTGGTATACAAAATTTTCTGTTTCTTATCCTCAGTAACCCTAGAAAGGTCAACACTAAGGATGAAGGGGGTGGAAATGAGTGAGGGCCCTCCACTGGGGAATATATTGGGTTACAATTAATAATTCTGTGTTTCCCAAACACAGACCTGCCTGCTTGGGGCAGGAAGAGGGGGGACTGAATTTATTAAATATACACTTTCCCTTGTCCCACCCTGAACCTACCATATTCAGTTCTCAAGAGTTGGGCCTGAACATCTGCATTTATAAGACGTACCCTAGGTCTTTCTTATGCATGGCCAGGTTTGAAGACTATCTGTATATCTCAGGCCTTTTGAATTCCACAGCCCAGACTGGTCTGCAGGCATGGTTGCCTTTCTGCTGACCTTCAATCCAAGAAACCAGGTCTTCTTTTGAGAAAATAACACTGGGCTATCCATTTTCTTGCTCTGCCAACCTCTCCTCTTTGCTTCTCACACCTGACATCCCTTTTCTGACCCAAAAGCAGTCCTGGGAATTGCACCTGAGAGTGCTCTAGCTTGCAAGGCATTGAACTATGGGAGGTCTCAGAGACACAGACACAGGCAAAGGAGACCTTGACAGCTAAATACAGAAAACAAATGGGCTAAAACCAAAGAGCTGGGCAGAGAATACAAGACCAAGTGGGAGACCACATGGTTTGGGAAAGACAGAGAATCCTTGGGGGAGCTTGACCTTGACATTTTGGGAAAGCAGAAAGATGAGGAGATATCATTCAGGTAAGACTATCTGTACCATCCTAGTATAGATAACCATTGCAGTCAGTCAGCATGGCTGGCTATGGTCTATGCTTCCAGAGAGTGACTGGGTTCCGCTGGCTCCCTGTAGCTGTGCCTATCTGGATACCATCTGAGTGGGAAAATGGCTCCCAACAAGCAGCTTCTGACTTGCCTAAGGACTAGAGGTAATAGAATTTTCTAGCTAATTCTATATGCTTCGCTGTTGATCAAGTTCAACTTTAGGGGTCAGGATAAAATAAGGAAGGGCTTTATGTAACCTTTCTCAGGTGGTTCTGGCTCCTATGGCTGATAATTGGAAACAAAGTTCTGCATCATTAAGGTAGGTTTCCCTTTGTTAGGAGTTTGTTAGACATCACAACCCTCCCTGTGCTGCAGAGTCTGCTGGGCCAGATAGTTTAGGCACTTATGAGAGACTCCAAGTTTCTGGTCAGGTTCAGGCTGTCTGGGTCTGAACACATATTGGGTGTTTGATGCTAGACTAGATATTGGAGAAGGAAGAGAGACATTAACAGAAGACATGGTGTATGTCTTCAAAATGCCTACAGTTTAATTGAGGAGGTAAAAAGGGCAGTTCAAGTCCATTCCGCTATGAGATACTGTCCCCCAGCCATGAGGATGACATCAATGACTGATGCTAGCAAGATCTGGATCAAAGACAAAGGGTTGCATGAGGGATGTTGAAGAAAGCAGGTAGGGTAACCTAGAGTATTCGAGGTCCTTGGAAGAGGATAGGATTATGCAATAAATTGTGCATGAGCCCCACTGTGGGCCACTAAGGGTCACGGAGGAAGACCAGAAGGCCTTGCACTAGGAGAGGAAACCAGTATGGCTCTCTGCCATCATACCACACAGCAGTGTGGAAAAGCAGGGAAGCCTGCAGAGGAGGAGGATGGCCCTATCCTGCCACCAGCTCTGGTCCTCTCATTGGTCTGGCTTGTGTCTCTTCTGCCTGGATGACACAGGTATCAATGACATATCATGTATGATCATGGGTCACTAACCAGTTCACAGGGCCTCCGAGCACGTGCCTCTGTCAGCCGAGTGCACTGAGGGAAGAAAGAGCAAGCTCATGATTGTGTAACAACAACTGGCCTTGACTTTGACAGGAAGCACCGGCTGACCCCACCCCCAGCCAGCTGACCCATCTGAATGCAGGACACTCTCCAGCCCCAGTTTATAAATAAACCAAGAGAAGTCATTTTTGTCCCAAGAGATCAGAATGTCTCTTGAAATACAGAGATAGCCTTTCTTGTGCTTCTGTGGTTCCTGAGTTCATTGTTATTCTTTGGGGAGGAACAGGGCTTGGATTGAACATGGTTCCCATCTGCAGCTGAGAATCTCAGAGAAGGCAGATGACCCGAGTGGGGAGGCAAAGACACAGCCTGCAGTGCTCTCGGCTGTGCCCTGATGTGATAAATGGGGCCATTAAATGCACAAGAGAGGAAAACAAAAGAGAAACAAAATGGAGGAGGAAGAGGGTGCAAGGATGTTGGGGTGGAAATGGGAAAGTGAGAGAAAGAGTTATTGACAGAGACATCAAGAAGAAATGCTGGCAGAGTGACAAGGAAAACTACATGCCCAGAGAGTGGGGAGAGGTGTGGAAATCAGAAGACGAAAGAAGCAGCAGACAGCTGAGGTGAAGCTCCAGGGCTGTGCGAATGCAGGTGGTACAGAGACAGCCGCAAGGAGTCTGAGACCACGCTGGGGTGGAACAGATGCTAGGAGGGATCCTGAGGAGGGTTCTGCACAGAGAGGATGAGGGGTAAAAAAAAAAAGCGCTCAGGTCTACCGATGTACCTACCTGGTCTGCCTTGCATGTGTCTCTGTGAAAAGAAACTACTTCAGGTGGTATTAAAAGCATGGACTCTGGGCCAAAGCTGTCTAGGTGAATCCTGGTGCTGCAATGCGACACTGGTAAGTCGGGGAACCAATCTGAGCCTCAGTTCCCTCTCTGTGAAAATGAGGTCATATTAGTGCTCACTCCAGGGTTGTCACAAAGGTTAAATAAAGTGTTATAAATGCTATGGAGCATCTAGAATGTTGCCTGGCACATAGAAATCCACTCGGGGTTGTAGGCACACACAGAACAGTGGGACAGGAAGGATGGGCCCAGAGAAAGGGCCCACCTTTCATTTCCAAGTTTTTTAATCTTAGTAGACAGCATTTGTTTGGAAGCAGTGGGGATGAGGAGGAAAGAGCAGCTCCCAAAAATAGATCAGGACGGCAGGAGGACTGAGGAAGTGTGAGCCAAGTAAGAGGAAGAGAGAGGCGACGTGGGTCAGTGTCAGAGGAGACTGGAGAAGCTGAGAAGTGAAGGGAAGGCCGACATGTTGGGGGTGCAGCAAGGCCCACAGAGCAGGAACCAAGCCAAGGGCAGCCTGGCTTTCATGGAAACTGCCTGTGGGGCCAAGGGAACAGGAAGAACTGGTGCAGAGGAAGAGGGTCAAGCTCCACCTACAGGAGATACTGCCCTCACCAGGAAGAGAAGAAAGACTAAACTCTGAGCCTTGGGCACTTCCAGTCTGCCTTCCAGGGACAGTGTTTTCTTCTTAAACCGGGGTAAGACTTCTAGAAATGGCTTCCTCTCTGACAAAGGTTTCTACCTGGACACCTGCAGGAGACATGTCACTCCCCAACGCAAGACAGAGAAATGTCACTGGGGCAAAATCACAGCTATGAACCTCCGAGGAAAAAAAGAGGTGAGAACAGAAGTGGGGAGCAATGCTGGCATACAAGGAGGAAGGTGGCAAGGCATCCCCACCCCTGCCCCCACTTGAGGCTGGCCCCACTGCTCTCTGAGGGGCAAGGGTCTGTGGAAGAGAGTCCTGTTAGTGCAAGGGACATAGCAAGCCTGAGAGCAATGCCTTGCATGAAGTGGGTAGTGCTCTGGGAACAGCACTTCCGACTCTGGTATCAGAAATGGCTCATGAGTCAGGGGAGAACTCAACGTGTTCCCTGAGAAAAAAAGCAGGTATCTAGTATCTTAAATCCCCATATGTGTTAACCAGGCTCCGTGCTAGAAATGAGCCTGGAGCACCAAGTATAAGAACACATTGAAAAAGTTAAAATGTATTAATTACTAACTGCCAGTGCTCATGTGTGGTTGTGAATATTATAATCACTGCTATCGCTTGCTGCAAACCTCTCCAGGGCGTGGGTACTTATACGCATAAGCCCCTAAATCCTCTCAAGGACCCTATGGAGCAGGGATGCCAGTTCTTGCCTCCTAGACAAGGACATGGCTCAGAGAGGTGAGTCAGGCGGCCCCAGAGACTCTACTCTTTCCATATGGCAATTTGCATGCAGTTCTCTTAAGGAAATAGACTTCCACTCAGTTTCTACTTTAGATTTCTTTGCACTGAAAAGCAGCTTCCATCCTGATTCCTGCCACTTTCTAACCCTAACAGCAGTGGGCTTGGGTGGGACCGTGCTAGGTATCAAGGTTCATCTGAGAGCTCCGACAGAGGGAACTGTCCTTGTCTGGAGCTGGGCATCAATTCTCTCCTTGCCTTCCTCTCTCTGCCTCTCTCTGGGATGGCTTCGGATTTGGGGGGAACAAGAAAAAGACGTGCAGGGAACTTCTCCAGCTCTTATCAGCGTGCTGCCTTCTAGCTGTGGGGATCCACTTTGGGGCTGCCGGAGTGACACTATTTCCCTCTTTGGACTGTTGGAAGAGTTAAGTCTCACTGCTGCAGGAAACACTGCATGTGTATCTAGAGACACAGAGAGAGCCTGCAAAATAATGGTGCCACTTCTCTGTGGTGAGACTCAGACTGTGCTAGATCACAGTGGACGGGTTTGGTTGGCAGGCTTGGCACTGGGCAGTCGGCATCTGGGGGTCTGTGACAGCTGTTCCTGCCTCTCCTTTTCTCCGTCATCTAACAAGTGACAAGCAGTGGGCAGGGGGCCCCAAGAAAGGTCTGCTTGTAACTAGTTTCCATACTCTTCTCTCCTTACTGTACATGTACACACACAGGTGCAAACACACACACACACACACACACACACACAAAACACAAA